AGTTTACAAGCGCTCGGTCAAGACCAGCTTTATTCCCGGACTCATAGTAGTCTGATAATACAGATAAAATCTTTACTTTTCTCCTGCCAAAACGACGGACTAAATATCGAGATCGCCTGGATCCCTGGCCACTCTGGTATATGCGGTAACGAGTGTGCTGACAGATTGGCAAAGTTTGCGGCCGTGAATAATGTTGAACGTCACCACTACATTGTGTATGGGTATGACATACGCGCGGATACCAAACTCAAGCTTTTCGACTCGTGGGCTGCAGTGTGGGTGGACTCCTCCAAGCGTAAAGGAGCTTACTTTGCAAGTATCCAGCCCGACATCCGGCGGAAACCTTGGTTTTCCAAGTATAAGAAGCTTCCCAGACAAACTATTTCGTCCTTGTGCAGACTCAGACTCGGCCACTGTACTAGTCCGGTATTCCTTGCCAAGATCCGTGTACGTGACAACTCGCTGTGCGAATGTGGTCTCGATGAGGGAACCCTAGACCACATATTTTTCTCTTGCCCTCTAAATTCCCAATCCTTCGATTTATATGGAAACCTTCCCAAAATCCAAATCCCTCTTCCAATCAACTTCCACTCCCTCCTAACAAATTTTTCTCCCAAATTAATTAAGTGCTTGTCCAAATTTATTAAAGAAAATTGTATTAAAATATAACGGTGTGTATTTATGTAAATATTGTGTGTTATGATTGTTTCTATTTAATTATTTATCTGGTGTTAGGTAATAATATTATAATTTTAGGTCTATTGACGGTATATGTTTACTAACCCAATTGTTTTTGTCTCTTCCAGTTACTAACAACTACCAGAAAGTTAAAGTTCGACGGTGCATTAACTGCCGTCACCACTCGACACTGGCAGTATAGTCGACAACATCGTAGTGGAGACTCAGTTGCCAAAGACGAAAAAAAAAAAAAAAAAAAAAGAATTCTTTCGACGATATATTGATTTGAAATGTCACGTGACGTCACTTCTATGTTACATTTTATACGTAGAAACGCGTAGAAATGACGTTTTAACCCCCCACTCCTAAACTTTGATTCATTTATCTAAGTATTGTTTTACAATATAAGTGTCTAATATTTTTTATTACCTAACTCATGGATAATTTTATTTTTAATTTTCATGCCCTGTCATCATCCCAATTTACTTACATACCGAATTTATTAATGAACTAGCTTCGCCGGCGTTGCCGTGGGATTCATCCCGATCCCTTCAGCCGTTTTGACGTGAAGGAGTAAGTACCTAAAAAACAGACTTTAGCATTTATAATACTTATAAATTGGATATACTATTTTCTTCACCCCTGTACCCATACAGTAAAATAGTTGTTAATGTTTATATGTTTACTAACCCAATTGTTTTGTCCTTTCAGCTACTAACTACTAAAAACTACCGCAAAGTTAACTTCGACGGCTCATTAATCTGCCGTCACCACCCGACACTGGCAGTATAGTCGACAACATCGTATTGGAGACTCGGTTGCCAAAGAAAAAAAAAAATAGGGGATATATCAGGGGATTGGTGGGTATGAGGACTGAGAAGTGGTAGATTAGGTAGGTACATTAATTTATTGCGTATTATAAATCTTATTCTGAATACCGCTAGAAATATTATTTTTATTGAAATTCGTCGAGGATAGTGCTACTTCAAAATATAGAAACCGCGCAATACTTTGCCGGACCAACAAATCGAATTTATCGAGTATTAATACTTACAGCTCGAAAATGGAATATTGTAGGTACATTTCCTATAAAAATAATAAAACAATGTTTTAGTTTTATTTTTAAATATATATTTTGTACACACTTCTTTATCACAAAGTTAAAATATTTCATGTTACATATTTATTTTCAATTAATATTACACATTATATTGGTAACATATGTAATTGTTTGATTGTTGCACAGCAGATTGCAATTAAATATTTTTAACTAGCGGACCTACCGTACTTTGTTTCGGCTTGATAAAAAATCTGCGCATCTCTATCCATTTTAACATGAGAACCTTCTAACGATCGCAAACCAAACAATAAAAGAATTGACGAAATCGGTTCAGCTATTTGCAAGACTTGTGGTTAGTAACACATTTAGCGATAAATTTTTATATTATAGAGATAATAATATTATAATTTAACACGTTAAACACCATGGGGGTCACCGGTGACCGACGTGAACGGAGGTTTAGACTTCAACAGTTTTCTATTGGCAGTCAAAGCCTTAATACATAACATAATAATTATTGACTTTAGATAGGTACCTAGGTTTACGTAGGCATTAAAATCAATATATTATGTCTCGTGACAAAGAAAAAATTAAACTAGTTGAGACCCTTTTGGGCGCCAAAAATCATTGCTGTGCATCAATCAAAAACATAAAGTTGAATAAATTAGGCTCAATATACACAAGTAATAAATAAAAGACAATGTTTCACAAAGCTATCAAGTGCGATACAGATCATGGTATCTGCCTAAGTACTGAACTATATTTATTATTTCTTTTACAATAATAACTTTTTATTTGAATTATTGTATGTCAACCTATTCTTTATTGTCAAATTTTTCTATTATATCTTCAACTTTATTGTATTGACATAAAATCGAAAATCCAATGACAGCTTAGAGTAGGATGATCTCCGGCCACTCGTAAGCATTTAAACTTATCCACATAATAATTTTCACGAATGTAGGTATGTGTGTATGGAATAATTGTAATATGTCGTGGTGGCCCGGAGGTTTAAGACGCACGCTTCTCATGAATGAGGGTGCCGGTTTGAAACCTAACGACGGCTAGTACCAATGTGATTTTTTCCGACTTATATGTACTTTCTAAAATTATTTAGACACCACTGACAAATGGTGAAGGAAAACATCGTGAGGAAACCTGGACTTATAATTTCTAATTATAAGTTTGATTTCGCCAACCTACATATTGAGCAAGCGTGGTGATTAATCCTCAATCCTTCTCCGTGTGAGAAGAGGTTTTGCTCAGCAGTTCTCTGCTCAGTAGCAGCAGTCATTTATAGGCTGTTAATGATGATGATGATGGAATAATTATTTTTACATTAAGTATTTGTAGCACAGATAGGTAATTTCGATTTTTTATTTCACGTTTAAGTGTTAGACAGACATAATGGCACAGCTTTTAAACATTCCCTTTCATTAAACATAGAACACAACATTATTGATCATATCTAGCGTCATTAATAAAAATAATTTATGAGATTTCTTTAATTAGACCTACATACAAACAACTTTAAATCTTATACAACATTATTTAAGTTCTGTTTCCATTGACCCAACTGAACATTCCGAGATACAGGCTGTTGTTTTAGTCATATATTCTATTTACATGAATGACAAATGTTGATACATTTGGGTACTTGCCTTCACTAAAAATAAATTATTTCGATTATTCAATACAATAAGATATTAAAAAATAATCACACTTTCATCAATTGATTTTATGACCAACTTAATTTTAGTATTTTTCCAGCAAATTCTTAAGAAATAAGTATGCTATTTGACGCTAAAATCTCGTACACAATTCATAGAAAACTTTCTATCGTTTTTGATAGTTCGAAAAAGGTATTGAATTTGACTAGTTGGCAAGTACCCATTGCTGGTTATCTATGAGCATTAAACCAAGGATTCACCAGGGGGGAAATGCCTCACGACATGTATCGGCGTATCAAGCGAATCCGGCCGATTTACATAAACATAACATCACGCCTTTTATCCCCGAAGGGGTAGGCTGAGGTGTACATTACGGCACTTAATGCCACTGTACAATGTAACGCCCACTTTTCACTATTTATGTTATGGGTCCCATATAATAGGGGGTGAGCCTATTGCCATATACCGGGCACAATTCCACTGAGATTTTTCAAAAAAACCCAGTAATACTTTGCCCGACCCGGGAATCGAACCCTTGCCCGGCAGTCGCAATTGCGACCACTCGGCCAATGAAGCAGTCAAGTCGGCCGATTTCACCAGACATATTACAAGGCGACAACGCGCGCTTTATGTTCACAGCGACGTTGATGTTGCCAGACATGTCGACCAAAGTCCGGCAACGTCGCGCTACTTCACCCAACGTCGCTGGCGACACGTGGCGCAGAATATTTGTCCCCTAATGTATCCTTGGCTTTAAGGCTCTGTTTCATAAGAACACTATGATCACATGAAGAGGCGTCTAAGATTTGTCTACGTAACATTGATTCTATTGAACAATAATAAAAAAATATTGCTTACATTCCCATATCGAGTAAAACAACAGTCGTATTTAGTTAGAACTTTTGTTATTTTTTTAAGTGATTGGGTAGATAAGTTTGCACAAATAAAAGATAGCTCTCTTTAAGTTTTTGTTTTGTAGAGGACGCTCTTGTAGATTTAAAGGTATAACCAATAGGATAGATGACAAATTTTTATTCTAATGTCCGTCTGGTAGATTATTTTAAAATATTTCACACGTATTTTTTATTTGTTTACAGAAACGAATACTATTGACGATATTATATTTGAAATATCGCGTTACTTCTATGTACATTTTATACGTAGAAATGACGTTTTAGCTCACATTTCTAAACTTTGATACGTTTTATCTAAGTATTATTTTATGACACGACCGAATAAAAAAACTACGTGTTTAATATCTTTTCATTACCTAACTGACGGATTAAATACGTTTTTAATTTTCATACCCCGTCATCATCCCTATTGTAGAGCTAAACCAAAATTGACATAAATATGAATAAGGTATATACTAGTTTAGACTTAGAGCATAACTGACTCTCGGTAGACGCGGTATAGTAATTTTATTGAAGAAAATAAGTGATAACTAAGTACTTTCTGGCTCATTCTTCTTTATAGTTATTGACAAAAAATCTAAGAAGAAATAGTCTAATTAAAATAAATGCTTTAACTTTATCATCCCAATCACCCACACACTACAACATTGAGGTAGATACAGCCACTAACACTAAACGCTACGTCCCTTCACATTTCACAGCCCCGCCCATAGTTTGATCAATTTTCTGTATAGCAGTATCTAATATATTAAGAACATCTTTATTTTCTTGCACAATTAACTTGTAATGGTCAGACGAAGGCACGGGAGCGTTCGGTTTAGCGTGATCTCTTTTAAAGTGGCGGCTCAAATGACTAGTTTGGGTGAATTTTCTGTCGCATATTTTACATTGGTATTTCTTTTCGCCTGTGTGTACCACTTTATGTTGTTTTAAAGCTGATGATGTGTAGAATGTCTTACCACATTCACAGTGGTAGTCTCTTTGACCTTTATGCCTTTTTAGATGGACGTTGTAAGCGCTGCATGTTACGAAACCTCGTTGACATTCTTTGCAATTGTACCTGTTAACAAAGAAAAAATATATGAACATCCTTTTCCAATTTAGTACGAAGTTTGAGATGTCAATCGTGTCTTGTTATTTAAAATGGACAAAATATTTTATGGACAACCTGTATTCATTCATAAAAAAGTCTCAGTCGCCATCTAGTGTTCGCAATAAGAAAACGTATTTGAAATTGTGAACAATAGATGGCGTTACTTTATCGACAGCTCACAGCATTAATCATAGCGTAAGAAGAAAAAAGAAGAGTAGAATCTCACTCACCTAACTTCTTTATTATGTATCCTGACATGTATGGATAAGTTGCCTGAAGTTGCGAAGGTCTTGGTGCATAGGTGACAGGAGTACGGCTTCTCACCGTTGTGAATCCTTTGGTGGACCTTCAGCTCCGCTTTGATGGGGAATCCTAGGGAATAATGGTAATTTTGGTATAGGATTAGGCTGCCTTGATAACCCTGTATGTACCCTAGCTGTGATTATCGAGTAAGAGCCTGGAGTTCATTATTCAGAGTTCAGCACAAATTGCTATAATCAATGGCTAAACCTGATCAAGACAACTGGATATAAAGATAAACAAAAGTTGCTTGCAAACTTGGAAGTACGACTGACGATCGATCATAAAGACTCATTCAAGTTCACATTAAGTATTTAGTAAAAATTTTCAGAAACTGCGCAGATTAGTCTCCTAAATTTTATTTTAATGTCCACCTGGTACAATAATTTAAAACTTTAGACACGTATTTTTTCTTTTCGCACAAATTTAAATACTTTCGACGATATATTAATTTCAAATACCGTGTGACACAGCGTGCCACATTTTGTAGCACGTTATGACGTAACAACCTCCCACTCCTAAACTTAGCGCCATTTTATCTAAGTATTGCAACTTAATACGAGAACATAACAAAATACGTATCTAATATGTTTTCATTATCTAACTGACGGACTAATTATATTTTTAATTTTGATACCCTGGAACCTACCCAATTGTAAACTTTTACATGAGATTTATTGGTTTAGTTGAAATAAATGACTGACCTTTCCCACAGACTTGGCACAAGTATGGCTTGTCACCTTTATGTCTCTTCATATGTATGGAGAGCTGGGCGCTCTGCACGAACGTCTTGAAACATATATCACAACTGTACAACTTCTCCCCTGAAACAAATATATACATAACATCATATCTACATAACATCACGCCTTTTATCTCCGAAGGGGTAGGCAGAGGTGCACAATATGCCACTGTACAATGTAACACCCACTTTTTACTATTTATGTTATGAGTCCCTTGTTAAAGGGGGTGAGCGTGAGCCTATTGCCATATACCGGGCACAATTCCAGGACACGGGGTCTTGGGTTCGATTCCCGGGTCGGGCAAATTATTACTATGATTTAAAAAATCTTAATAGTAGCACATCATATCTACTATTTTTAGAAGCGTGTGTTATGCTATAATCTTTTTTATGAGTCCCATGTTATTGGGGGTGAGCCTATTGCCATATACCGGGCACAATTCCAGGACACGGGGCCTTGGGTTCGATTCCCGGGTCGGGCAAATTATTACTATGATTTAAAAAATCTTAATAGTAGCACATCATATCTACTATTTTTAGAAGCGTGTGTTATGCTATAATCTTTACCCTTGGGCCAGTTATTGTGATTGCAGTTGAAAATATAAACTACGTTTAAAAAAACAGACTTCAACCCCTCTTTTTATGAAGTTGGTTGATTAATATACTTTCTACTAAGTGTAACAAATACTTTTTGAAAACCGCATAAAAATCGGTTCACCAACCACAGACAGTAACGCACAAACATCCATAGATACACGTCAAAGTGAGAACTTTCTTTTTTGAAGTCGGTTAAAAATAAGGTATATTAGAAAATGCTGTTGCTTGGTTCTCTATCAAATATACCGTTGGTTAGCTGACAGTGACATTGTAAAACAGACTTTTTAAAAAAAGTAAAGAATGGAGTTTCTTGCTCGTTCTTCTCCATACGAATCTACATTTTGGAATGAGCACCTAGCTTCACTGACAGACAAACTGACAGACTATTTATTTTGTGTGTTGACGTTTCAAAAGTACCAAATTATGGTTTAATTGAAATAAATGCTTTGAATTTGACTTTAGTAGATAGATCAAACAAATGTATAACTGATGACCTAAAATACACCTAATCCTCTACTCTACAGGGTTCAAATGCTTACCTTTATGCATCCGTATGTGGTTGACCAGCCCAGTACGTCTGCTAAACTGTTTGGGACAAAAGTCGCAATGGTAGGGAGTCTCACCAGTGTGTATTTTCTTATGTTGGAACAGAGCACTGTGCCCTCTGCAAAAAAAAAAAACATAAACAGTAAATTACTGTGATAATAGACAATCTTTTAGCTCCTACTTTGTTTTTTTAGTGTAGCTTAATACTAGAACATACATGACGTCATACCTTTGAATTATAGAATGGTATTTTCAATGTAACATTGGTTATATTATGAGTATCATGTGAGCCTATTTCCACCAGGTACAATTCTAGACTCTGTTCTATCACTGAAAATTCTCGAAAGACCTCAATAATACTCTGCCCGACTTGGGAATCAAACCCGAGGTCTCTTGTTCAGTAGTAGCACCTTCTGCCACTTGACTAACGAGATGGTCAAACTAACATAACATAACATCACGCCTTTTATCCCCGAAGGGGTAGGCAGAGGTGCACATTATGCCACTGTACAATGTAACACCCACTTTTCACTATTTATGTTATGAGTCCCATGTAATAGGGGGTGAGCCTATTGCTATATACCGGGCACAATTCCAGACTCTGTGCTACTACTGTGAATTTTATGAAAAACCCAGTAATACTTTGCCCGACCCGGGAATCGAACCCGAGACCCCTTGCCCGGCAGTCTCACTTGTGACCATTCGGCCAATGAGGCAGTTAAAGTCAATGGTCAGACTAAGTTCTGCATAATCTATTAAATAAATAAAATACTTACCTAAATGTAGCAGGACAATCAGAACACAAGAATGGTCTGAGATCAGTATGACAAAGTTTATGTGCCTTGAGATTACTCTTAGTGCTTAGTACTTTGCCACAAATGTCACATTGGTGCGGCAGCTTGCTTTCTGGTAGAGGCCGAACTTCACCCTCCAGGTACACTGCAAATCATAAGTTTACTAAGATTATTTTTATATTATTGAGAAGTGAAGTGTTGAACAAGCTTAGGCTTGGAAAGCTAGGGGAATTGAAAATGGAGAGTAAAATGTGGGCAATACCATATTGGTTGACTGTATGTTGCCAACTAAAAAATAAGTAATTGTAAAAATCTAAATTCTTGTTCAAATTATAATTATGATGTCTTTTTCAGATTTTGTTGGAGAACAATGAATATTGTGGCTGTAACAATATAATTTAGAATTATAAAGAGAGAGAAAGTATATTTAACTTCAGACAATAATTTTAATACCTCTTTTTTTTCTGCCTCTTTTCTTCTTAGGTTTTAATTCTATATTTTCAAGTTCTGAAAAAACAACAAAACAAGTTTAAAATTCATCAAAAATTATGAATTCCAATATTATTCTGTAGTTAAAATTATAATAGAATAAATATTCACCTGCTTTTTTAATTTTAATTTCTTCTAACAGTATATTATCATCATCAGCATCCCAAGTGCTATCATTGTCATCGTTATTTAGTAATGGTTCTGAAAATCAACAGATACTTTTATAATAATGTTGTGTGTTTGTTTATGACAACTTATATCACACATTCCTATTGGAAAAATGACAATACAATAAAAGTGTGTTGTCTCTCCTTGCTGGCTGAATGCTAATACAGTAGGTTCGCACTATTAAATTCCTTTGAATAAAATGAATGGAATTTGAAGTGAAAACTTCACTAAACAATATGTTGGACAAAATCTAGTACCATTTTAGTCACACTCTAAATGATGAGCTTTTGTTTCTTTATATTACTCAACAATACCTAATCTATTTCAGTGAAAAAATAAATAATAAAAGAATAACATAAGGCACTTGCCCAATTTAATATTTTTAATGTCTCCAGTGGTTTCATCTAGCGTCAGTAGTTCCACGTTCGCCCCGAGACCATTTTCGCATTTCATATCCCCGAATTCCAGTTCATCTTGGAATAGACCATTAGAAAGACCATTTTCCTTGATTTCAGCCTTTGCTAGCATGAACTTTAACCTTTTGTCGCTTTCATCACATTGTAAATTAAACGTGTACGCCCGTTTTAGCTGCCGACTACAATCATTGCAAATCAAATGGGGCAATCCATCATCTATTTGCGGCTGGAAACAAATCACATTGAAATGAATGTTTTTATTCAATTAAACGCATTTAAACGTCACGTAAGGTTGGTTTCATAATTATGTACCTTAATTTGAGTACATTTCGCTAGCATATCACTGTATACAATATTCCGTTTCTCATAAAAACTAGTGTACATATCAAAACTAATTTTATCTGATTCGAGACAAATTCTACACATTTTTGCTATGTCCAACGCCATGGTTTAGTTTTAGGATGTAACATGAAACTGGCACAATGTGGGAAGTTGTTATTGTTGAATATTTAGTGAATGTGATAAAAATACAACAACATTTTGTAATGATTCGATTATTTATAATCCACAGTCGTCGCTCGTCGATTGTGATACAAACAAATGTAATGTCATTGTCAAAATACAAAGTGACAGCGTAATTTACTGTCATTTTGTTACGTTTAGTTTACATCAGAGGAGTAATATTGAAATGTTTAGATTATCGTCTGTTACGTCTACTTGGGGCTTTCTTAGTTTTGTTCTCGATTCAGTGAATGTCTTTTGCCGTCCAAAAGAGCGGCTGAGATATTCACTGTTACCCTTTAGGGTAGATAAGTTCAATGCTCTGGGCCCTGGGATATTTAAAAAATCATCTGGACCCTTTATGTATAAAATCTTTTGCCAGACCAATAGGAAGTTTGAAATTATGCCTAGTATTAGGGCAAGAACTTCATTCCTATGACATCATAACGAATTATAAGTTAACTGGTGATGAAAAAATTCAATATGGAACCCACTGCCTACTCCCTCACAAATTGAAAGACATGACTTTGACTTGACTGCATCGTTGGCCGTGTGGTCACAACTCGCAAGTGCGACTGCCGGGCAAGGGGTCCCGGGTTCGATTCCCGAGTCGGGCAAAGTATTACTGTAAAAAAATTTATTGTAAAAAAAATCTCAGTAGTAGTGCGGACGGTATAGGCTCACCCCCTATTACATGGGAAACATAACATAAATAGTGAAAAGTGGGTGTTACATTGTAGTGGCATAATGTACACCTCTGCCTACTTCTTCGGGGATAAAAGGCGTGATATTATGTTATGAAAAGCTTGAAAAAAAAAAAGAAAATGTTCATCTACAATGCAATTTATTCAAATAAAGTATGTATTATGTACATAACAATAATAATAATTAATCCAATATCTATTAGGATAGGTCATTACATTAAATATACATCTATTACATTATTACAATATATGTTCAAATGTAGAATAAAAATACCCAATTAATCTATTTAAAATATTCCTAAACTGTACATATAATTTACAATTTTTAAAATATGTACAGTTAAGATTTCGACCGCCATGAAATGGCGCCAAACCTTTTTATATGTATAAACTAACATTTGACAATAACAATATCTAAAACAATTGTATAATTGAACATAATAGATAAATTCATTTACACTACTTTCTAATATAGGTATAAAATAAAACATTTACAAAAACAGCCTTCGTTATGATACTATAACCACAGTTATCAAGTCTCATAATGGTCTAAGTAGGTAGGTCTATCCTACCCTATGAAACACTTTTTTTTTTCTTCTATGGCAATTGACTCTCCACTCTTTATTTTGCAGTAATTAGTTACGGCTTCTCATTATCTTCTATAGTATTCCATTTCTTTCACTTTTATTAATTTGCCCCTATATTACACCCAAAATGATAACCGTCGTTTGTTCACCATAGTCGGTAACAATAACATATACATTGCTTCTTGCTTAGATTTATATTTTAGAAAATAACTATTTGCTGCGCTGACATAGTTGTTATCACTGCTTTATATCTTTTAGATTATTCCATTGCTTAAAAGACCTTCACAGCTCTTATGGTTGCATTATGATAACATCCGTAGTTCCTTTGTGCTGTATTTTTTTATTTATCACTATGGTACTCAATAAACCGTCTTTCAACGATTGTATAACACAACATATTTTTAACTTGACAATATTGAAATAAAATATTTGCTACAACATTCATACGTAAACATATTTCTGACACATATTGACACTTATAACTATTTTAAATGTGGGAAATTATTAATGTCATTATTTCACAGATAAATCTTGAGAGTATGCGTGTTAACTACTACACAAAACTATTTATTTGAATAATAGTACTGTAGGGTTTGTACAGATTCTTCTGGAATCCAGGATTGAGATGTCTCATTCCATTTTCTGTTCAGTTGAAGCTCTCTCTAGCTTCCTCGGCCACAAATCATCTGACTGTGAGCAACCAATGAAAGTTTTTCTCAGTCTCTTCGCATTCCAAATTGAACTCGTAGGCATCTATAAGATGTGCTATGCAATTGCGGCACAGATATGGAGGCAAGCCGTCTTTCATGTTGACCTGAAACAATAATAATCTTTATTACAAAAATAATCATAAAATTAAATAGTTGATTCTAGGAATACATGATACATGGTTAATTTATGATATTATATTTCATAGTAAAAACAACAGCTGCTTTGCTCAATCAATTTGTTTTCATGGTATTTTTGGAAACATTAACTTCAATTTAGATGAAGTCGGCAATAAAATTCATGGTGTTTTGTTGTTATAGTCAGAGTATTACAAACAACACTATCTGAGGAGTACACTGTATGTAGAGCAACCGTGTGATTTTTTCTTGCATAGTGGGTAGGTACTTACTTACCATTACTTTGCTGCAATATGCCAACATATCGCAATATAAAGTATCCCTTTCTTCATAATAACTCTTGAACATGTCTAGTGCTCGTGGATCTATGTGCAAACAAATGCGACATATTTTTTTATTCTCTGACCATATATTTTGTTCTGCCGCCATTATTTAGCGAAATCTTCTGATGCAAGTCTTCAAAAAATCCAATCAAAAACAGTTCTATGAAGAGTGCAAATGTCAACAAATGTATAGAATTATTGCGCGAAATAAAAAAAAATGAATAAATGAGATGTAAAGTAAAAACACTGCAACGCAGAAGATTAACCGTAGCACAATATTATTTTTCTATAATATTTAGGTTTAGCACTTCTGTTTTTGATTTGGTAAATCAATCAACAAATTTTTGACATTTCACTGTGGCCGGTCTGGTGGTCAAAACCAAAGATAATAATAAGTATAGGGCTGGGATAACTCAAAGAGTGGTCCTGGCAAGTGGCAATGTCATCGCTATCGATTCATTTTGTTCTTACTGATACGAAAATGTAACGAAACGTCAACTAAATATCGATTTTGTAGAATTCGGAAAACACTGTGATAAGTTTTAAATCAAATGAACTCCTAAGATAAGTTATATGAATTACATTAAGTGTGTTAATTAATTTTATTTAATTATTGGGCCATGTGAATACAGTAGAAGGTTAGTCGATTTCTAGGGTTATTAAATTATCTGTGGTAAGTTTGGATTCCGGTAGGCTGATTTTCCGATTTTTAAAATGTCGGAGAAGTCGGAGGAGAACCGAGTCAAGTCATGGTGATATGATATCAGTTTACAAACAAAAACTAAAGTGTTCCTTTCTATGGGAGTTTTAAATGATTGCATGAATTAGTAAGGTACCGAAGGTTATAAAATAAATATGTCTGCACTTCAGAAGAGTATAATGAAAAATAAATTACCGCCAAGGGTTCCCAGAACTTCTGGTGTCTCCAAGTAAGCAAAACTTTGTTTATTTTTTAATAATATTATTGTGTTAAAACCTTATTTGTTTACTCTACGGCTTGTAATAAAAAGTAGGCTATGATTTAAGAGCAAAACCTTTATGGTGTAATTGAAAATAATTGATGTAAAGTACGCTACCTATTGATATCACATGAAAATAATCAAGATTGATTAAAAATCAATGTAAGTGTGAAAAAAACAGAATGTGGATATCAGATTCTTAAGTTTTACACTTATATTACCTATAGTAATCCAAATATTCTACTTCATACATGTAAATGTACTAACATATTTCGATGTCAGCTTGTATAACAGTAGTTATCTTTTAGGATGGCCCCATTTGGAGCAGGTCGCCGTAAGGACTACACGCCAGTATCATGGAAGCAGTATTTCCATCAAAGCGTGGATGTGACGATAAATGCTGGTACCTTCAGAGTGTACTTGTCTCCAGAACCTGATCATCCTGACAGACCTAGGATAGTGACCTTGCATGGAGGTGGATATTCAGGGCTTAGCTGGTCCTTGTTCACGGTAAGTTTACAGCACAAAGCTGTCAGCTGCTTATTCTATCTTTCTGTCATATCTTATGAAAATGAATAAATGAATTAATGTAAGTTTTGCTTGTTAAATCCTTATTAGTATGTTTCTATCTAATATTGAATGTAATTTTTGTATCTTTGAATTAAAACATTACTTTTTTTTACAAGAGATAGATTTCTTAAAGTTTGTTTACCATTTCTTCTGATAGGACTCAGGACTGATAAGAAATGGTAATTTATTATTAAAATAACTATTGTGAGACATACTAAATTAACTAAAAACCGCGCGTTACTCACGACTGCTGTGCGACGTCGCCGCGATCGCGCACGCTGCTCATGAGGAAGAACCCCTCTGTGCTTCGAAACTAGTAGAGTTTTTCTCAGTATATTCACGTGAGTAGCCCATGATTTTTAGTTAAAATAGAATTCAAACCTTGAATTACTTTTATTTGCTGTTGATTTAGATGATGTATAATAAAAACTACATGGGTGAGCCAAGTAAATTCAAATTATATCATTTTGAAAATTGGATCCTGATTGCTGCTGATTGCTAGTTAGCATGAATAAGTTTCAATTTAGATCCATTTTTTGGTTTTATTCAGGTTCTTGTTCACCTTTGTGGAGGATCTGCATCTGCATCCTCCGAGGGTTTATTGGACCCTTGTTGCTTGTTTATGAAGACAAACAAAACAACTCAAAGTCTATAATTTCAGGAGGAGATAACGAGCATGGTCCACTGCCAAGTTGTGTCCATTGACATCAGAGGCCATGGAGAGACCAAAGTGGAGAACTGCGATGACCTCAGCATTGAGACACTTGTACAGTAAGTCATCTCTATAACAAAACACATTACTTTACATACTTTTTAAATTTTGCTATTCAATGTATGTCCATGATTATAAAGAATCCACAGTATTTGTTTATACAAAAGTTGTCTCTAACCATCGGAAATAAAATCTATAATAGAGTAAGTGGAGAGTGGTAACTAGTTACTGCTTGGGAACTGGGCAGCTAAGGGTATTATGTGTGCTATAAGAATCAGTTTAAGGACTACAAAGAGAGGCATTTCACACTTCGAATACTGAATGCCTACTCAATCTTAAGTTGTACTTAAATATTGTGCCAAATCTGTCTTTCTACAAAAATTTGTATTGACAGAACTATATTTAACTTGACCCTTTTAACTTGTGAGTTCTGTCCTGCCTGCCTGCATGTGGAGTTTGTAGCAAACCTCATCCCGTGTAGAAGAGGCTCATAGTTCAACAGAGGACACTCAGAAGCGCGCATTAGTTCTATAAAAAGTGTTGTTTTAATTAAGTCTGTAATAACTACCTATCTATTAGTTTTAATTCTGTTTATTCTCCAGTGACGTAGAACAAGTCCTCCACAAGCTGTTCCATGAGGGCATCCCTCCTTTAGTACTGGTGGGGCACTCAATGGGTGGTGCGGTGGCAGTGCGGGTGGCCCTGCAGCCCTCATTGGAGCACTGCATACAGGGCATCGCTGTTATTGACGTGGTGGAAGGTAAATTAAGTTTAGTTTGTTCTCCAAACTCCTCCAATTCCTATGAATTCCTAATCTTTGAAGATTGCTTAAGTAGATAAAGTGTGAAGAGGCAACAAATTGAACTAAGTAACTACCTAACTGACTTACTGACTAACAAACTAACTATCTGACTAACTAACTGACTGACGGACTAACAAACTAACTAACTAACTAACTAACTGACTGACTGCCTAACTAACTAACTAACTGACTAACTAACTCATTGACGAACTAACAGACTGACTGACTAACTAACTAACTGACTAAGTAACTAACTAACTGACTGACTAACTAACTAAAAAACTAACTAACTACACTAACTAACTGATTGACTAACTAACTAAATAACTCACTGACTAACTAACTGACTAACGAACTAACTAACTGTCTGACTGACTAACAAACTAACAGACTGACTAACTGTCTGACTAAAAATTAACTAACTAACAGACTGACTAACTAACTGACTAAATAACTATCTGACTAACTAACTGACTAACGAATTAACTGACTGACTAACTAACTAACTAACTAACGAACTGACTAACTAACGAACTAACTAACTAACGAACTAACTAACTAACGAACGAACTAACTAACTGACTAACTAACGAAGTAACTAAGTAACTAAAATAAAAACCATTACACATAAAAATTTATAGTTACTATATCAAGATAATGTAAAATTAATATTTTATTCCAGGGACAGCAATGGATGCTCTGGCCAGTATGCAGAGCTTCCTGCGGAGTCGACCTACACACTTCAAGAGTATTGAGCATGCCATAGAGTGGTGGTGAGTACTTTCTTATTATTTATTTATTTAAGTATTATACAATTGCTTAAGGAGGATTTGATGCTAACAGCATCCTCTGCCAGTCATCCTTTAGTTGGTGCAGAAATGTATGTGGTAGGTGGTAAGCTGCAAAAAGTAGTGGTAACTATCCAAATTATTAAAATAACATCCAAATTATTACTTTTTTCAATGAAACAACACAATCTCTATTCATGTATTTCAAGATTTTTGCAATTTCTTTTTGCTTGTCTTATTTATTAGCAGAAGGTTAATGTTATATGTGACTATAATATTATATAATACTAGCGGACCCAACAGAAGTTGTCCTGCATATCCACTTGAATGTATAAACAAAAATTCATTCAGACTAGTTCAGCTGTTTAGGATAAATAACCTAAATATCGACTGCAGCGACATCTGCCGGGCTGATTTGTGAATCTAAACCATTCCCAGATCCCCATGAACACACGCAAAATTTTCATCAAAATCGGTCCAGTCGTTTGAGAGAAGTTCAGTGACATACACACTCACAGAAGAATTGTATATATAAAGATAGTATTTAGTAACCTAAATACGGTAGTTGACAACTAGTCAATTACAATACTTTTATCGAAACGTCAAAAACGATACTGACGCCTTAGTACGAGTTTGATTTACGTTTAGAGTAACCGTAACGAGTATGCGTTCAGCGCTCTGATTGGTTGGTTCATTGGCGCCGGCCAATCAGATTGCCGAACGCGTACTCGTTTCGAATACTTTAAATCAAACTATTTTTTTACGAAACGAAATACCATCTTATGACGTCATCATATTTTCGCGTCAAACAGCACACTTATATCTAAAATAATTGCTAGATTAAATCGAAAATGAAGTATTTCGGCAAATTAATGAATGAAAGTATAACTATTTTGCAATATTTAATTTAACTGAGAAATAAAAATAATTTATTTTTGACCTTATTTTTGAATTTATTTTGGACTGGCCCGTTGGCCAAGTGGTCGCAATTGCGACTGCCGGGCAAGGGGTCTTGGGTTCGATTCCCGGGTCGGGAAAAGTATTACTAGGCTTTTTCAAAAATCTCAGTATTAGCACGGAGTCCGGAATTGTGCCCGGTTTACAGTATTCGAAACGAGACCGCAGTCGACGCTCTGATTGGCCGGCTCCAATGAACCAACCAATCACAGCGCTGACCGCGGTGTCATTTCGAATACTTTAGTAAAAGTATTCGCAATCAGTCTCAAAAATGAAAAGTTTCAATAATGTCTATATACAATATCAAGCTGAAGTTGATTTGAAATCATTATGTGAATGAATGGATTTAAGAAAAAGTAAATACATAAGTGATTTTGTTTACTCTATGATTTATTTATTTATTTTCAGTGTGCGAAGTGGTCAAGTACGGAATGTGGATTCGGCGAGAGTGTCGATGCCCAGTCAGATTATCAAGTGAGTATATATGCGTACTATCTTAACGATATTGCTTATATTTTGCAAATAAGATGTCACCACTCTTTCTATACAGGAAGGGGAAGGGACTACATATTTTACAGAAACTGGGCAATATGAACCTTTTAAACTGCGATTTCTAACCACAAAGTCCATTAGTTCAGCTGTGTACCGATATCTCGTCAAAGTCTTCGTTTACTTTATTTTCACAATAAAATTTTTTATTACAATTATTTATACAAATCGGACTTCCCCTCTTATTTTGAAGTTTTTTAATTAAATGCTTAAACCTTCTCCTAAGTGTAGCAGACAATTATCTAAAAATCGCATCAAAATAGCGCACAAACATAATTATATAAATACAGTAAAACCCGCTTAACCCATTTGGGCCCGCCGTCCCCATATGGGGACAGGTTTTCTTTTACCCACTGGTTATTAATTATTTTAGCTATCTTCACATTTCATGGGTATTTATAATGAGGAGTAGTGTACTTTCCTAAAATTATTAGAACTTTTGACAAATTGCTACAAAAAAGGGGTCATATTGTCAATTTTATCAAGAGGAAGTGAAATGGGAATTATTATTGAAAGCAGAGGCGTTTTGTAGTACGTTATTATGAAGATTTATAAAACTTTTTTGTGATTATTGCTTGCTTATAGTGTCAATTAAAACAATATTGAAGAATATCCTTATACTTTCAATTCCGCTTAGGGGAAAGTTAGAAAAAATGATGGTGTCCCCGTATGGGGACAATGGGCACATCTGTAGTATAATTTTAAAACATTTATACCTGATTTGTATTTTGTTTTCCAATTTATAAAGGTCACCTATAGGCTAAACTTAGTTATAGCTAATACTTGGTGACAGCAGACGCTAATTCACGAAGAGCATCACCAATTCCCACATATCTTTACGCGTTCATATGCTAAAATCTGATGGGCATCAAGACCGAAGATGCAAAAGTCCACCTACAGTACCAGGCGTCGCATCCGATATCAGAATTCAGCAGTAGGGGGCATTTCCTCCAGCTGTATTCTGGTGTCGTCACAGCGAAGTCCACCCAGAGGATAGAGTAGCATTATGCCCTGTATACGTTGACCACCGCCGTGTCTTCAGGGACGTGATCGACGACGATAATCTTCCACGTCCAGCTTAGGTTCTGGCTGTGGTGCGGAGCGAGGGGAACTGGAAAACATCTCTTTCTGCGAAGCAGTCATAGTAGCAAGAACAGATCGCCGCCCAGAACCAGACCTGTACCTGTAAGGTGCGTGGCGTTACGCGCGTGCTTCAAAGTGCAGATCAGACCGCCTTAGATCGAGATGGTTCAGTGGGACAGATGCCCGACTACTATGAATAACCTAGTGGGTCACCGGGGCTTCGGCTTGAAGCAGAATTAGGAACGTGTTGGTTTTTAGCCAGTAAGAGTCCCCCAGGCGGAAAACGCAATGCATGATTTTTACCCTCAAAATAAATATAGGCGCGTCACATCAAATTGATTTAGACATTTTCCGCAGAGATTTAGTTAATATCCGTTACGATACGCAGTTCGTCATAAAAAAACTGTGATATCAATGCAAATAATGCGTTAGAACCTTATGTGTTGAAAACAGTCACTACTTCGAAAAGTACTACACATGAGACCGTTGTCCCCAATCAAGGACGGCATTTTTTTTAATACTTCTAAAAATATTTTTTGATTTTTTTTTGCTGATATTAGTTTGTGGGCGTCATATCATTGAGTTAATAAAGTTTTTTTTATTAAATTATGTGTAGTTTGCATTTGGTCCCAAATGGGTTAAGACGATTTCTCAGGGACCTTACCAAAAACGCGTCTTAAGCGAGAAAGCGTATTATGCGGGATAGGGAAAATAAAAAAGTACTACTTATTATTATGTAATATGTTCTAATTTTTGTAATTATACATTTATAAATTACGTTAAATACGTAGTGTAATTAAAATTACATTATTTAAAGTAATCACTTATTTTGGTTTGACAAAAAGATTTTGATGCATTAGCAATTAAAAGATTTTCAACATAATTCAACTTTTGCAGTGCGTCTTCGCTTTGATCCATAGAAGCTACATAGCGTCTTAAATCACAAACAGCTGATAATACCTGGGCGTTTGACAAAATCGGAGTTGACTCATCTTCGTCTTCATCATTATCACTTAGGGCTTCGTTTTGTGTGTTATTCACATTCTCAATAAGATCTTCAATTGATTGAATTTCGTACGGTGCTACATTGTCATCAATAGAAGAGTATCCAGGAAAACCCTGCAGTATCTCGGGTTCTTCTTCTTCCAACACGACGTCAACCACGTTGTTCTCTCGCTGCTCGGCGTGTATTAAACGGGATGACGAATCGTATTAAGCGTTAAGAAATGTATGAAAATATATTTTAAGTTGCAGGGACCGACGTAAAATGGCGTATTATGCGAGAAATCGTATTAAGCGTGATCGTCTTAAACGGGTTCTACTGTACATACATACAGGTCAAAGGACTGCCTCGTTGGCCGAGTGGTCGCAAATGCGACTGCCGGGCAAGGGGTCTCAGATTCGATTCCCGGGTCGGACAAAATAAAAATCTCAGTAGTAGCACGGAGTCTGGAAATGTGCCCGGTATATGGCAATAGGCCCACCCCCTATTACATGGCACTCACAACATAAATAGTGAAAAGTGGGTGTTACGTTATACAGTGGTATTAAGTGCCGAAATGTGCACCTCTGCCTACCCCTTCGGGGATAAAAAGGCGTGATGTTATGTTATGTTATACAGGTCAAACTGAGCACCTCCTTTTTTTGAAGTCCTTTAAACATATTAATTTATCCACAGCTGCGAGACCGGTAAACTGGCTATCAATGAAGTTGAGAGCTATACATCTGTATCCGACGAGTCAGTCCCAACTCCAACAAGGCATGCTCCTCTAGCTGACCGGATTGCTGAGGAATCTGATGGTGAAGCTGATGGGGAATCCGAGTCTGGCTCAGAGACTATCGTTGAACAATTTGTGAAGCCTTCTGCGGTGGGAGACGGAGCTTCTAGTATGAAGTAAGTTGATTAGTATCTAGGACTTAGTTTTAACCCTTTGAGTACCGTCATTATAGACACAATTAAAGAACAATGACATGGTATTTAAAGCACAAAAGAGATGTGTTAGGGCCATATGCGGTATTCAAACAACAGACAGTTGTAAACCGTATTTTGAGAAATATATGAGGTAGCAATGTTTGTGAAAGGGAACCCTAGACTATTTGAAACATTAAAAAGCGCGCGAAACAAAAATAAAATCCGTTATAGACAACACAAGAAACTGCGCGTTCATCTAACATCTTGAAATGCATCTAAATGTACTGTGTTCAGCAATAAAGATATTTGATTTGATTTGATTTGACAATAGGTAAGCGGACACTGGTGTCCTCGCGGTGTTTGACAGTTTAATATGATATTGTATTGTTGGTTCCTTGTATATGCGAATAATTATTATTTTTAACTTAATTAGGGAAATAGTGCATATCTTAGTTAAAAAGTTAATAAGCTTTTTGGAGTTGTGAATTAGTCATTTCTTTACCCTACGTTTCTTAAACTGTCAAACACCAAGCGGTCACCGGTGACCGCAACCTATTGTTCTTTAATTGTGTCTATAAAACCGGTACTCGACGAGTTAATCTAGTTAAATTGTTGAAGAATTATTTCTAAGCCGTAATTTTCTATACAGTGTTAAATGTTACTTCTTAAAGCTATTTAAAGGGTTATTTGGTAAGGTTTCAAAAATCTAGTAAGTGAAGAGGCGATTGAGAAAAAAATTACTGAGTGCTACTAACTTAGATTACATATGTTCCATAATATGTTTTAGACAATATAATTCTTTCAATAACCACATTCAACACGAGTCGATTGAGAGAAAAAACATCACGTGAGATCTGCTAACTTAGACTATTTAAGGTTCGATAATATATTTTAGACACAGTAATTATGACTGCCTCATTGGCCGAGTGTTCGTAAGTGCGACTGCCGGGCAAGGGGTCTCGGGTTCGATTCCCGGGTAGGGCAAAGTATTAGGTACTGGGTGTTTCAAAAAATTCACAGTAGTAGCACGGAGTCTGGAATTATGCCCGGTATAGTGCAATAGGCTCACCCCCTATTACATGGGAGTCATAACATAAATAGTGAAAAGTGGGTGTTACATTGTACAGTGGCATAATGTGCACCTCTGTCTACCCCTTCGGGGATAAAAGGCGTGATGTTATGTTATGTTAATTATTAAATAGCTATAAAAATGATATAAAATACGTTATTTCAGATACAAATGGCGCATAGAGTTGTCTCGCACGGAGCGCCACTGGTCGGGCTGGTTCCGCGGCCTGTCGGGCGCCTTCCTCAGCGTGCGCGCGCCCAGACTGCTACTGCTCGCCTCTATCGATGGACTCGATAGAGAACTCACTGTCGGACAAATGCAAGGTTAGTTACACATTTTTGTAGTACCTACCTTTCCGGACAAACTTTCTTTCTTAATTAGTGTGAACCAAAATGTTTGAAATGTTCTTAGTAAAACTATATAGTATTGTCGTCTTATACTGAATACATACCCCGAGCGTACGGCGCGTCGCGTTCAGCGCGGCCTCGAAAGAGCCATCAGACCACCACGGATGGGGCCGGGTTGCCGGGGCTCCGGCTCGAAATGCAGGAGAACAAACGGGGTGGTTTTTACTCAGTAAGAGTCTGACACTCCCTCCCGCCTCACCCAGGCGGGAGCAGTCATTCGATGATTTTCCCCCCTTAAAAAATATAGTACATTCGTGTATTACTGGGTTTTTAAATCTCAATAATAGCACGGAGTCTGGAATTGTGCCCGGTATATGGCAATAGGCTCACCCCCTATTACATTGGATTCATAACATAAATAGTGAAAAGTGAGTGTTATATTGTACAGTGGCATTAAGAACATACCATCTTAATACAGAGCGCCGTTACAACAGCAATAATAATTTGTATACGTACAATTAAAATTTGCCCTTGAGCAATGCTAGATTAAAGTTGCTGCATTTCACTTGCTACTGGTAAACACTAACTTATAATATACAAATACAATTTATTAGAAAAGCAATGCCAATTGTATTTCAATACTCATTCGGTTTCAGGTAAATTCCAAATGCAAGTACTGACGAGGTGTGGACATGCGGTGCACGAAGATACACCTGGGGAGGTCAGTTCCAACTTTGTTTATTTAGTTTATCATTTACTAGCTACATTATAATATAATAATTTGAAGTCAAGTCAAAGTCAAAGTCAAAATCATTTATTTCAATTAGACCAGGATGGCACTTTTGAACGTCAACCAACAAAAATTTATAAGTGAAGCTAGTTGCTCATTCCAAGGCGTAGATTCCTATGGAGAAGAACGAGCAAGAAACTCCATAGGTTACTCTTTTTCAATCAGGTTTACAATACAATTATCTAGTTACATAGTTTTGTTGGTTCGATTATGTGAGAACAATGCAACACCTAAATCCAGTCAGAAAGACTGAAAAAGAAAATAACCTGAAACTGACCTGACTGAAAATGAAAAAGAAAATTGAAATAGTTTTTACCTAACAATATAAAACAATAGTATGTCTGGTCATCAATTTTACACGTCATTTGTTATAACCGCCAGGTGGCGCGCGTAGTAGCAGCCTTCGCCCTCCGCCACCGCCTGACGTCCCCCACGGAGCTGGGCGCCGACATGCAACTACTGCACTCTGTGCCCGGTTGCTGAACTGTAAATACCGGTACTTACTCAGTCAATAAGAGACCTTAGTACGAAACTAAACGAAACGAGACCGCGATCGACGTTCTGATTGGTTGGTTCATTGGAGTCTGCCAATCAGAGCGACGACCGCGGTTTCATTTCGGTCGCGTTAAACGTAAAACAAATTTGTACTAAGCCCTCTATACGTGAAACATGTTTTTTGAACCCCCTAGTTTCTGAAATATGTAATTGGGTATTTTCCTTAATCAAAATTAAATTATTTCAACTGTTTAATATAATAAAATATAAAAAAAATATCGCAATTTCATTAACCCCTCGAGCGTCCTATTGAGCACCCGGTGGATGATAAAAAAAAATGTCACGTGTGCACCCGTTGGATCATAAGGACGCGGACGCTCGACGGGTTAATTGATTTTATGACCAACTTAATTTTAGTATATTTCCAGCAAACTTTTAAGAAGTATTCTGTTTGATGCTAAATAAACGTGACGTCACAATACACAATGTCGTACAAAATTCATAGTAATTTCATTAACATCGTTTTTGACAGTTCGAAAAAAGTATTGATTTTCTTTAGTTGGCGAGTACCCAATTGTTAAGATTGAGATTAAATTTTGACAGAAAAGAACCTTGGTTTCCGTGAAATATATTTTAATTTGGTGTGTCTATCTGTGTCTTCTTCACGTCTAAACCACTGAACGGAGTTGGGTGAAATTTGGTACAACGATAGTTTGAGACTCGAGAAAGGACATAGGTGCATCAGGGCCTTTAGCCAAACGCCACTTTAGCGCTTGTCTACAGAGAGAGAGTACAAATCAAAATGTATGAGGATGACACTGATAAGTGTCAAAACTTACGTCAATTCCATATAATTTGGTTTTCTATTCTACATGTAGACAAGCGCTAAATGCATTTGGCTACAGCTGCAGGAATGGGAACTTTGCGGGGCAGCTTTGGATGTTGGTATTTACATATTTAAAAATATATAAAAATGTATATATTTCAGAAGTTAGGGGTCAATATTAAAAGAGATTTAAACATATGTTAAGTTTTACTGGTATTACACCTTTGATAAACAAACATAACAATAGTTTTATAGAGAATTCTATTAATTTAATATTAAAAATAATACTTAAAATCAAGGTTGTGTTTAAATATCTTCCAATAAGGTAATAAATAATTAATCTTATACGTATTGTATAAAGCTGAAGAATTTGTTTGTTTATTTGAACGCGTAAAGTCAGAAACTACTGGACCGATTTGAAAAAATCTTTTTGTGTCGGATAGTCCATTTATTGAGGAAGGCTATAGGTTATAAAACATCACGCTACGGTCATTAGGAGCCGAGCAGAGTGAGTTAAACCGCGCGGAAGTAGGTAGTGGTGAATATGTATAATTATTTGTATTAATTAAGTATAAAATACGTATTAAGTTTGCTTTTATGGATTCTGAGTGTCATTGATACTTGTATAGCTTTAACGGCTCGTCGATAGAGCTTACGCCCCGAACAATGAAATGCTACTCAATTTTAAATCTCGCTTAAGTATAGTTATGTCACTACAATTTATGGAGAATGTAAACCAGTTGAGAGTTGGAGTTCACTACGAGACGGGTAACCGGGGCTCCGGCTCGAAGTGCAGGAGTAGGAGCGGGGTGGGTTTTAGTCAGTAAGAGTGACACTCCCTCCCACCTCGCCCAGGCGGGAGAAGTAATTGGATGATTTTCCGCCCTCAAAAAAAGGGTGCAGCTTTTACAAATTTTAGTCGGTTCGATAACAGTGTGCGACAAGCGAATTTTTAAAAGCATTTGAATGCAGTTTTCTTTCTTTTCAATAATAAAGGAATGTTTTCTTTGAATAAAATTTTGTATCTACAGTATTAATCTCTAAACATTGGAAATAAGGTCTATAATGTAATGTAATAGTATATATATAGTATATATGTATAGGGGAGAGCGGTCACCGGTGACCGCTTGGGGATCTATGGGTTAAGATTACTTCCCCTTCAGGTGGTTACAAAATTCCACCCTGTATAAGTACAATTTAAAATTGAGTAGCTTTTCAGTATTCGGTCGATTGTTTTAAAAATCTAAGATTCAGCCTCGGCTAGCATAGCTTAACGTTCGAGCTTGTGTCTAAGACGACAACACACTATTAAGTAATTTAAGTTGTTCAATATAAATAGAATTCTCTATAAAACTTAATCACAAAATCTTCTAATTATAAGTCTGATTCTCAAAGTACTTACTTGTATGCTTCATGTAATAGGGTAGTAGATAATCTATGAAAATTAAAAATATAATTAGTCCGTCAGTTTGATAATGAAAAAATATAAGACACGTATTTTTTTATTTTGTCGCCCAAGAAAACAATACTTATATAAAACGGAGTTAAGTTTAGGAGTGGGAGGTCGTTACGTCACGCTACCCTATAATTAAACTGTCAAACACCAAGCGGTCACCGGTGACCGCGACCTATTGTTCTTTAATTGTGTCTATAAAACCGGTACTCGACGAGTTAAAATGTAGTAAATCGTAACGTCACACGATATTTCAAATCAATATATCGTCAAAAGTATTTAATTTTGTAAGAAAAGAAAAAATACGTGTGTAATGTTATAAAATAATCTACCAGACGGACATTAAAATAAAATTTAGTATACTACCCTATTGTCATAATGTCCAATGAAGGTAATATATTTAAATATATTAACTTTACCCGGCCTGAGGAGAAATGGTATGATTACATTGGTAGAAATGTTGTAAAACTGTACAGTATTTATTATAGTCAGTCAAGTTATTTAGTATGCAGGTAACAAAATAAATATTGACAGTAACTATTATACTAAATTGTATACTTTTTTAAACTGTCGTGGTGGCTCGGAGGTTTAAGACGCCTGCTTCTCACGCATGAGGGCGCGGCTTCAAACCTACCAACGGCAAGTACCAATGTGACTTTTTCCGAGTTATATGTACTTTCTAAGATTATTTAGACACCACCGACAAACGATGAAGGAAAAACATCGTGAGGAAACCTCGGCTTATAATTTCTAATTATAAGTTTGAAATCGCCAACCCGCATTGAGCAAGCGTGGTGATTAATGCTCTAACCTTCTCCGTGTGAGAAGAGGCTTTGCTCAGCAGTGGGCATTTAAAGGCTGTTGATGATGATGATGATACTTTTTTAATGAAGACATATTTTTAGCTAACCAATGGTTACTCTCTCTGTCAGTACGTTAATTCAGTTTTAGAGAACAGAACACTGAATATAGTTCTCTAAGATCGGGAAAGGAGGATTCTCCGAACAGGCGAGGTGATCGTGCCTAGCGGGCTTCCTGCCCAACCAACAGTTATTCGTTGGGATTTTCTATCCATCTTCATTCATATGTACGATGTAGGATTTTTATAACGTCATCCGTTGATTTGTTTTCATCGATGGTCTATGTGCGTGAGCTCTCATTTGACATGTAACATGTCATTGTGTCGCCACACAGTAATCAATATTTATTTTGTTACCTGTATACCAAATAACTTGGTGAACTACTTTAAGATTTCGGAATTGTCAGCCATTACGAAACTTTTGTATTTCTAGGGACTTCGTACGAATTTGATTTACGTTTAAAGTATTAGAAACGAGACCGCGGTCGGCGCTCTGATTGGCCGGCTCCAATGAACCAACCAATCGGAGGCCCCAACGTGGTATCGTTTCGAAGTCCCGTGACCGGTTTTAATCTCGCCTTAGTAATAATGTGAAACTCAATGTAACGAAAATATTGATTAATAGATTCTGCCAATGTAACAAACACTTTAAAAAATGTGATTTTCACAACAAACAAAACTATTTTTCGAAATAATAAAAAAGTAACTTATATCTTATTGTTCTAAGATCTTGCTCACAGTGAGTTTATTTTTATTGAGTATTTAAAAACATGAAATGTATGTAAAATGTAAGAGAAGCTTATCATTAGGTTTAGTTAACTTTTATATCGCTGCTGATGAGATGCATGTCCTAAGTGGGCTTACTCTCGAATCCAATTCTGATCGATCGACATCGGCATTGTGAAATTTCGTACTCTCGAGTTGCAACACTAGCGCCCATTGCATTGTATTGGGTGGATATTTAATAAACTAAATGGTTATTCACCGAGGGAAGTGGAAACTATCGTTTTTTTCTTCTTCTCTTATAATATCTTCTGTCTGATTCACTTCGTTGCGGGAACCAAGACAGTTATGCATGTCCCTGGGACGCGCCAGACTTCAGTGTTCCGGTGTTTTCATGGTTGTATCTACTGTAGATCCTGGCTTACAGGAGTTGCAGCGGTTTTGGGACGATGTGACGGGCTTGTCCCTTTAAAAAGAAACTGAATGGTATTGAGTTTGGTATATTCGATACCATTTAGTTTATTCAATAATCACGCAATACGGATGCAATGGGCGCTAGTGTTGCAACTCAAGAGTACGAAATTTCACAATATCAATGTCGATCGATCGGAATTAGATTCAAGTGTGAGCCTCCGGATATTCGTATAATACTGTACGGAAATGTTTTGTGTTAGTAGTTTAAAATGTACAAAAAAGAAACTAAATATTTGTTGAAGACCCTTTGAAAATATGTATGATTTCTACTAAAGCTCTGATTAATCATTGAGCGTACCGAAAGAATAGTTAAAATAATATTTTGTACCTTGTGTCCTATAATACACATGCCTGTAAAGAAGGTAATCTTATGTTACAGGTATTTTTATGTTTCTGTTTATATAAGGTGTTGTTTTAAAACCGCGTCATTTTCTAGGAGGTAACTCGGCTGTTGATTAAAAGTTAATTCTAAAAAAAATTGTAGTTTAATCTTTTTCATTTTTCTGTAAATTACAGAAATCCGTTAGTCAGAACTACACGCTGCCGTCTTGTAACTAGCTTTATAACGCGGCTTAACACACACAAACTCAAACACGTAATTTATATTATTCCTAATTCCATAAAACTCCAATAAGAAACATTGCTGTCGCTTA